AAGAAGTTCTAAAAGACCTTTCAAATAACAAAGCAGCAGAACCCAACAAGATCAAATACGAGATGCTCAAAAACCTGAAAACAATAGGAAAAAAAATGCTATATTAACCAATAAACATATACCTAACTCACAATATGACCCTGGCAGCATGAAAGAAAAGTCTACTCTATTTAATTTCAAAGGGAAAAGAATGGCAAGGCACTCTAAGCAACACCAGATCAATAGTTTTCCTGGATGTCTTATGAAAGTGTTTTATCAAAATCATCACTAATCAACTGTATATTATATATAAACAGCACAATATCCTAAAGAACCTCAACTACCAGGGAAAAGCACTTCAGAACCCATCCACTTGCTAAACAATATCTGTGAAGAGGCCAGAGAAAAGAAAAAAGAACTGTGGATCTTATTTCAAGATATTGCCAAGGCATATAACATAATCAATTTGGAGATGTTACAAAGAGCACTCCAAAGAATCAAAATTCTAGAGAATCTCAGAACACTCATATTAGACCCTTTTATTAGCAGATCTTTACAAATAATTACTGACATAGGAATAACAAAGAAGGTAATAGCAGGGGATGAAATAGACCAAAGGAAAATGATCTCTTCTCTCCTATGGCATATCTTTTATGACTTCCTGTTATATGAAATTCAAGATAATACAAAACTGGGATACTTCATGAATTGTGAATGGAAAACCAATCACAATAAAAATGAAACCATGCAACTGAACATCTGACAAGCCACAATAACATATATGGATGACACAATATGGATTGCCAGATCAGAAGAAGATATGGGAAATATTTTTGAAAGAGCCAAGTGGTTTTACGCAGCTAACGACTCCTAAATCAATAGCAACAAGTCTGTATTAATAATAATAAATAGTTATAACAAAGGACCAAACTCAGTAAAAATTGGAGTAAACTAGCAAGAAGTAGTTGAGAACAATCACAACAGTTTTACTAGATTCTTAGGAATATGGATAGGAAGTAAAAAACAAACTAGGGATATAACTCTTCAAATCAAGCAAGAAATCACAACTGTTGTATCAAGTCTTCAAAAGAAAAAAATAACAGACAAACATGCAAAATATATTCTAAATAGAGTTCTCATTCCTCGTATAGAATATCGAATACAATACTGCTTCCTAGATCAAAACACATGTAACAACCTAACAGCTCAATTAAGAAAGGCTTTGAAGAAAATAGTAGAACTAGTCTCAACAATTCCAAACTCAGCTATCCATCACAAAAAGATATATAATATCAAAAGTATTGAAGAAATTCAAGCAGAAAATCAGATCTCCAATTTTATGAACAGATTAAGTAACATGGGTCCAGCTAGCATATTCACACTAATCTATCTTAAACAAGCCTAAATTCAAAACTAGGAATCAAGTAATATTCTAACTAATGATATCACTTGATCCTTTAGATATTCAAAGAACTTCTCAGACCAAGTATTGAAATCAGCAAACAACTTGGGAATCACAATATTCAATTCCCGATGGTCAAATTATTTTGAATGGAAAGGAGACTCGCTATCCATTAAAAACAAGCTCAATGATACAGAAGTATATCAGAAAGCAATTCCATCTCTAAAAAAACCTAACATAATGTTTGTAGACCAACTAATCGATAAAGATACAAAAATGATGCTACCTTGAAAAATCATTCAAATCCTGTCTAAAACTAGTAAAGGACTAACTCTTACAAACAGGTACAACATCTTAAACAACAGATAGCAAAACTGGAACTGGGAAGAGCAAGATAGAATATTTTTTATGAGTAATCAAAACAAAGATCAATGCCAATGGAGCTGAAAAATTGCAAGTTTGGAAAGAACAAATGAACATATTATTTGATATAAAAGCAAAGAAAACTCAGGCCACCCAATCCCATATGCAAAGATTTATAAGTTGAAGATGGAATTCAAACCAGACTTATCTAAACTCCAAAGAATTTTAGATAGTATTCAAACAAATTCAAATATAAAAAACAAGAAATTTCTTGGATAGAATAAATATTTGTAAAGGCAATAAAAGATCAAAGATCAGATCTCTAGTATGCAACATTCTCAATCAATACCTATTATTAAGAAAAGTGAACAAACCAGAAATTCCAATTAGCATATATGTATTGGAAAATCAAGCTAGAAAAGAATTGAAACATTTTAACAAACAAGGAATTACCAACAACCACCTTATAGCAATAGAAATAAAAGATTTAGAAGTATTAATAATTAAAGAACATATTCAATCCCCAGAATACATACAAGTCTTAATAGAAGAATACAGAATGAATAAAGAGAGTGACTTTTACCAACCTTACTGTTTCTATACAGATGGATCATATGGAAAAGCAAAGGATCAAATATCAATAATAGGTGCAGCCTGGCTACAAGAAAAAGAACTAAACTCAGAATGATTCTTTCAAGCAGGAGTAGACAACTGGTCATCAGCACTCCAAGCAGAACTAGTGGTGATCATTTTAACACTCCTGATTATATTCCAAAGAAGTCAAATAGAAATCTGAATGGATAGCACAATCTGTATCAATACTTTACAGAAGCTTCTAAATCCACATATCAAAGACACAAGTAAGGATGGGTCCCTAAACTATTTAGCATATAAAATTTCGCAGATTAATTATGTTCCTTTTGAAGGGACATAATTATTTATTCATTATTTTAATAGGGACATAATTCAAAAAACACTTGGATCAAATGTCCTAAATTGCAAAAAATCTTTGTAGGTAGTTTTTTTTTGATCTTATATTTAAAAAAAAAACTTTTTTAATAGTGAGGGACATTTGAATTATGTCCTCGTCTTTAATTTAGGAACCCATCTTTAGACACAAGGAAAAGAAACAAAAAGTGCAAGAACTGGCAATTGTGGACAAGATGCATAGACCTGATATACAAGAAACAGATCATAATCAAGATAACCAAAATAAAAGCACATGATAAAGATAAAGCCAACAACAAAGTAAATCTTCTCGTCAAAAAAGCAAAAGAAGAATCTGAGATCATTTGAAACAACTGGTACTGTCAAGAAATTCTAATAACATTATGCTGGAATGGGATCCCATCGATATTGGAATAAGAAATTTTATTAAAAAAATACATAAGAGAAACATCTTAACAAAATGAACAAACCAGAACCAAATACAAAAAAGATAAGTTAAAGAGATAAATGACCAAAAAAATTTTGATTGGAGAAGTTTTTGGGAAGCAAACAGAGTAAGAGATTCTTTAACAATATCATTCAAACAAGTCAAAAAAAAAATTTCCACATAAAACTAATATATAATAAACTACCAACCCTAAACAACATGACTAAAAGATTCTCCACAAAATATGAAAACCTAACCATGTATTTATATTGTTAACAAGAAGAGGAATCCTTAGAGCACCTTCTTTTCTGCAACAGTATTTCAGAAATCCATAAAGAAATATGAAACCAAAATCAGAATCGAATATTTAACAAATAGTTAGAATGTGTTCAAGTAAAAAAGATATAAGACAAGCAAGCTACTATACAAGACCTTTTGCAAAGATGATATAGAAACAAATTCTTCACAGGAACAAATATCATAAGCATATATTTAGGACTCTTTTCGAAGGAAGATATTGCAAAATGGATCCAAATGATGATCAATGCTAGGATGAAAATCGACAAAGCGAAGCAACTTTTAAAGAAACTGTCAAGAAACATCTGCAAGCAAGTTCAGAAGAAAATATGAAACAACAGATGTGTCAAGTTACAGGATTCTGAGAGAAAGTCCAAAATATACAAGCATAAAAAGAAGAATATCAGTAAAAAAAAAAGAGAAAAAAAGAAACCAAGAGATCAAGAACAGAAAAAAACAAGCTCCAAGACAGTACAAGATAAGGAAGAGGACCTCAGTCTGCAGATTCAAGACAAAATTCCTATTTGGGATTGGATTAAAGAAGAGAAGAAATGATTAGGAATATAAAAAGTAATCTAGATTTTGCTTAGATGAACTGTAGTGATGAACTGCAGGCAATGATCTTTAAGATTGAACTCCATAAGCAAGTAAATCATAAAGGGAGTAACCTTTTTCATCTCCAAAGTTACACCTAAAGACACTAGTTAAAGACAGGTGTTCAAGGCAGTAGAATAGTTTATGCAATACAATGTATTATACATTATTTGTTTTCTATATAGATTCAATAAACAGTACATACTTGTTTGACTATGGGAAAAAAAAAGAATCCTAATTGATTTTAATTATCCATATCACAAACAAAATTATTATTTTATTATAAACATTAAAGACATAATCATGATTGGCCAAATAAAATTGGCAAAGTTAATATACAGTATAAGAAAAAACTAGAATATTGGACATTTATATGGATACATGAAAAGTCTATTATAAGAACCAAGTAAAAAAATTCACATTGTAACCATCGATCCTGGAGTTCATACTATTTTATATAATATTCTCTCAGTTGATTTGAAAATATAATATCAATCATATTTTTCACTTATGCCTTGCTTTTGATGCTTTTATCTCATGCACCACCAAAACATTAGTAAAAAAGCATAACTCTATTAAGTGCACTCAAAGACACATGAGAAGACATTCAAAATTTAGTGGATGAAGTATATAAAAAAACTGCATTTTGGTTGATTAAGACTTTTGACATAATCGTGCTACCAAAATTTAATAGCATACAGATGTCTCATAGACAAAGAAGAAAAATTAATAGTAAACAGTTCGAAAGATGATGAGCCGGGCGCATACTAGATTTAGGAATCGATCGTTATCTAAAGTGGAAGTATTTCAATCCATCCGACCGACTCGAGAAAATAAAAATTTACAATAAAAGATATTTGCGCCTGATACAATTAGCATTTATAATATTTTACTCTTTTATTAATCAAAATTTTATTTTTTAATAATACAAAATCACACATAAGACATTAATTTACTATTCGAAGTTAATTATGTGTATTTTTCGACAATTCAATTATCTGCCTGAAAGGGTGCGTTTAAGGGATCAATGACATCACCTATTTTCGTGATAACTCTAGGCATAATCATTTTTTGGAATATATCTCGCGTATTCCACTCTCTGCCTAATGGAGTTCGTATACTTCGTTCATATTGTTCTCTAGTCTCAAATGGATGGGGAATATCGGTAGCCAAATACTTCTTGGCCTAGCATTGAATATATTTTAGTGAAGATTGGTCAAAGATAAGCATCTAACAGAGAAACCAATAAAATACCTTTTTTATTCTTTTCTCATTGATAATCACATGATCAAGTCTCGCATCTTGTCGCTTCTTTGCTTCTACACCTTCTCCAGGTAACGGTGCAACCAAAATTCTTTTACTTTGTCCTTGTGATTTTACTCCTTTTCCAACCCACGCTCCCTAGATGGAATTAATCTCTTAATAAATATGTTTATGCTCGTATGTTAATTGAAAGGATATATACCCATCCAGGTAGCGTAATATCTTTCTCCTTAGGTTTGTCTTCGTCGATTGCGGTTTGTTTTTCTATTAAAAATTCCTGAATGAAAATGGATAAATCTAGATGAATCAACGTACCTGAGAAATTAAAAGTATAGCATTATTTAAAGAAAATACCAACGTCTATAACATCATCATTGGCAAATGCACGAGCAATTAATTCTCTTTGTGTAAATGCCATAGAATTCTCTGTGTGCACAAAATTCTCTGTCATTACAATTGAGTTATCCTCATTTTCGGATACAGTATTTCTATCAGTTATAGTAGTATCATCAGGAATTTTTTCGGATTCTAATTTCTCCACTTTTTTCTTTTCATGACCTTAAATTAATGATGAGATGTTTCAGATTAAAAGTGTAATAAGCGAAATTCCATATTAAATTATAAGCTTACCAATTACTAGTACTCTATCCACATCTATTTCCACATCATCCTCATCGGTTTTCCTTCCTCGTTTTAGTTTCTTCAATTTCGAAACCAATTTGTTAGATTTGTTGCTTTCTTTCAAATCTATTCCTCTATTTTTTTTTTTGCTTGAAGTGACTACTTTGGAAGAATCGGTTTGAAGCCACGGATTTTCTTCGTCAGAATCATTTTTCTGTATCGAGTTATTTTCATCTTGCGTCTTTGCTTGAGTTGAAACGTTATTTAATTCTGATTGTGTGACCAATTCGTCTTCATCGTCACTTTTTGGATCAAAAGTAGATTTTGACACCTTTCATGATAAAAATCAAATTAATCACTGTTATAAAAGTTCTTGTCAATACGTTAAATATAATATATTACCTTTGTTATTTCTGGTCCATGTCCAAATGACACTTTTATACCAGTTTGTCCATCGGAATGTGCGTTTGAAGATCTTTTCTACATGTTAGTATATTTCTGACCGTTAATTTTTAATCATAAAAAAATTTTTTAAAAACATAATAGAAATACCTCTGCGTCAACTCTGAAGATCATTCTTCCGATGCTATTGCCAACGTAAGTTACGGAATCATTTTTTGTTTCCTTTTTATCTTTCTCATCCTTTCTTTCTTTGCCATCTTCATCACTGAGATTTTTCAAATCCTCAATAAAATCATCTATGAAACCTTTGGTCTTTTTCCGATCTCTCTCCATTGCGTCCTGCATGAATTTCATACCCATAATGCCTTTAGGAGGTTTTTCACGATCCTTCTCGAGTTGCGCCAGCTCATCAATTGCCTTTTTTTTGACAGAATCCATGTCCTCCTCATCGTCATTATATTCGTCGGACTGTACGTCACTGGATTCCTCATCAGAACTAAGATCGTGAATTTTCCGCTTTAGCTCTTCATGCCTTTGTAACTGTTCGGCAATTGCTTGCCGACTTCCTTGGTCATTATTACCATGCTTAAGTATTTGCTTGGCCCATTTACTGGTATTTTTGTGTTTCAAAGTCATACGTTCTTGTGCTCGGGCCGTTTCTAATTTGAGTTGTTCTTTTCTGGCTGCCTCTGGATCAAGCTCAATCAATTCATCAAGTTTTAATCTATTCTTTTCTTTTTCTTTCTTCCTAATCTTTCGATAGGCTTTACTTTTAATCTTCGCGATCCGTTTTGCTTTAATTTCCTCTTGAAACATTAATTCACGCATCATCCGAAGTTCTTTACGACGAGATGATACTTCTTCGACAGATAATTTATGTAGCTGAAGCTCTTCGTATTGTTGAAGATCTTTTTCTTTAACACCACTTTCTATTAATATGGAATCGACTTCTTTCTCAAGATTCGTCGAAGGCTTTTTAACGAACAGAACGTAGTACATTAATAAATAGATTAATACTGAATCGTTTAATGGATTATATTAAAATTTCACTATACATACTTGAAAGGTACCAGCCAAGGTATTATTGGTCGGTTGATGTTGAGGATTTGGATTTAGTGGGAATATCAAATGTTCAGCTTCACGATTGTGTTTTACAATTGGCTCCCATTTTGTAATATCTTTCTTGGTTCCCTCATAAGCCGCCTGTCTATTCAATTTATTTATAATTCGTTGAGGCAATGGAGCCGACAATGGTTCCTTATAATTTCCTTTGTTACCACCACTTTCAAGTGACGCCAATTTTTGCTTTAATCCACTGAACCCCGTTTCTTCCTGAACCGCACCTAAAAGGTCCTGAAAATCTATTTTCTTATTATTGCTTGCAGACTCTCGCGTCGTTAAATTATATTCCGATTCTTCATAGGCTTCTGTTCGTTCTTTAATTTTCTTTTTACGTTTTTCTATGGGACTTTGATTATCGACACGTTTTCTTTTTTTATCCAACGATTCGATAAAAGAATCCAGTCTCTCCACTTTGGATTCATCATCTAATTCATCGACAATTTCGTTACCACCCTCAGTTAAAGTTGCAGTTTCCTCGTCCGATTCATCATCAAAAAAGTTTACATCTAAATCTTGATCAACGTCCACCAACTCAAAAAGGTTCGTGTTGTCTAAGCTTGCGAGATTATTTTCTTCGTCGCTCAATAAGTGATCATCCTTACTCTTCCTTTCAACCTTATCGAGGGTAAACTCATCCTCGCTTTCCTCGTCGACCTCATTCCCATGTAAATCCTCTGCTTCTTCAGTTTCCTCATCGGCTGAACTTTCATAATCATCCTCTTCATTTAAGTCAATCAATCCTTGTTTTTTACTCTAGATAAATCTATCTATTAGTAGATAATAACCAAGAACCAATCTATTAAAAATTATCACTTACATTTTTCTCAGTTGAGCCTCTAAAAATAAAATGATCAAATCTTTCCTCGTCTGACTCGTTGAACGCTTCGTCACTATCAATTTCTTCATCATCCTCTATATCGATCTTTTCTTCGACATTATACTCATAGCTTTCCAGTTCATCTATATTTTTACGACGTTTCTCTTCTTTAATTTCATCTTGATCAATCTCGAAAACATCTTGAGCGGAAATGTTATCGGTAGCTTCAACTTTTTCATGCTTGTTATTTTTTATTTTACGAACTTTACCATAGGGCAACGCCTTTTTATGTGAACCGTCAGCATTGGTATTGCTGCTTCTACTAAATTTTTTGGAATTGCTCTTTTTACCTCTGAATCGGTTACCGTTACCACCTTTCTTGGTCAATTTAAAGTTTTTACCCATTTCGATAACATCTTAGATGTAAATCCAAAAATATGACCTTAATAAGTTACACACGTCCAATGGCATAACGTCCATATTGTACTTTCATAAATTCCCATGTGCTATTACGTACATATTGCAAAATCTGCATAAATAACTTCTCGGGAAACGTAAGTCTATTGCGTTTTACTCATTGTCACCAATAAAAAATGAGCAACGATACTGCCGAAGCTACGATTCCAGAGTCAAAGAAAACAGAGCTTAGCGGCTTCTTGAAAACACTCTCTACATTTACAGGAGACATTTATAGTCTAACGTGTCCCAGTTTCTTGCTCTCGGGTGTTTCTACCTTGGAATATGGGTACTGATGACATTTCTTCTTTTAAAATATTCTTTTTCTTCATATATTTTATTACCAATTATTTGTTACATCTGGAATTATAATAGCCAATATTGGGCAGATTATCCAGAACTTTTTGCAGGTATAGCAAAACCAACAAATGAAGCTGAGAGAGCTGTAGCAGTTCTTAAATGGTTTGTCAGTACTCTATATGGATCGTTTGCGTCCAGAAAAGATAAAGATAAGATTGAAAAAAAGCCATTCAACCCGATTCTTGGTAAGGTAACGTTTTGATTTGATTTTTTTCTTTTTTTTTTTTCTTTTTCTTTGGCTGAATTTTACCATTACTCTTTGATCTTTCCGAATTATCTTTACAAAGGTGAACAATTCATAGCTAGGTGGGATAGCCGAAATGGATGTGGTGAGACTGTCTTGTTTTCAGAGCAAGTAAGTCATCACCCGCCAGTCTCTGCTATATATCTTGAAAATAAAGAGGCAGGAGTAACAGCGAATGGTCACAGTACGTAGAAATCCTTGTTTAGTCCCAAGTACTTTATCATCTTATTTTATTCACATTATATTTGCTTATTACCATTTAGCTGGTCAAAAAAGTTCTTTTAAGGCTACTGCCGCACGTATTGATATCACACAAGTAGGACACATAATTGTCCGTGTGAGAGATTACCCGGACAAATATTTGATTACGCTACCATCCTTACAAATTCTTGGGCTATGGAGAGGTGCTCCCTATGTAGAGTTGAGGTACGTAATTATAATTTGGTGCACGCTCTATAATTTTTGACCAACAAAAATAAAAAAATATATTACATTGCAGTGGCACGAGTGTGATTCAATCTCAGAATTACAATATAGTTATTGAGTTTAGCGGTAAAGGTTGGCTATCTGGAGAGAAACACACATTCAATGCTGTAGTACGTCGGAACAGTGAAAATCATCCTTTGTATACGGCTGGCGGAAATTGGTCTGGAAAATCCGTTATAGAAAACAATCAGACTAAAGAAAAGACTGAATTCTTTGATGTGGAAGGAACGAATAGGACATTACCTATAATTGCACCAGTAGAAGAGCAGAGTCCTTTAGAAAGTATAAGGTTGTGGCAATTTGTTGCAAAAGCAATTAATGAAGGTGATTTTGTAACGGCTTCTAAATTAAAGGTAATTTAACTTGAATTTGCCCTACTTCATGATGTATGGTTAGAGTAATAATATATTATTATTGATAATGTGATTTTTGACAGGGCGAGATTGAACAAAAGCAACGTGATAAAGTAAAACGTGGAGAAAAAGTTAATCTTCAATTTTTTGATTACGTGCCTGAGGACAAAGAATTTCTCGAACTTTATTCATTAATCAATGGAAACCAGAGTATAGATGATAAATATTACGAAAATGGTAGTTGGGTCTATAATAAGTTATTATATGGAAATAATAATGAGAATAAATAATTAGTAAGACTTTCGAATTATTATATCTGATAGAAATTATAGTAGAGTTATTTTTACTTTTTATAGTGAATATTAATTTTAGTTATTATTAAACATTAATTTATCTCCAAATTCAATTTATTGTTTGTTTTAAAGTAATATAGAAATCGGAAATTAATATATAATTAAATAAAGTTTTAAATTTAAATTTAACCTTTTTTATTAAATATATCTATATATTTATATAATATTACTTTATAATTATTAGCAGCTGCCATAGATCTTTATTTTAATTATAATAAATACAGCAGTTAAATTATTTGGAAATTTTAAAATATAAATAATTAAAAAAATTATAATATAAATATACAATAGACTAAAAATATAACTACAAAATAAGAGTTTTAAAAAAATCGAATTTTTTTTTTATATAATAAATATAATATTTTACTATAATATTTTGCAATTTAATACAATAACAATTAATAATTTCTTTATTTATAATAATTTAATTAAAATATTTAACAAAATTTGCAAGTACAATAATTAATTACTATAAAATTTATCAAAACTATTGGGCACTTTAAACTTTATTACAAAAATTATAATTTTTAAAAATTTGATTTATTATCATAATTATTATTATTTTATAAAATTAAAATACATATATTTACTATTTTTATTTATCAATAACTTGAAAAAATAATATATATTTTCTATATTATTTCAATTTTTTTTAAATATATAGTATATTTGTTTTTTAAAATTAATTTAATATATAACAAGTAAAAATTAGAATTTCAATATCAAATTATTTTAAATTTTAATTAAATTATTTAACTAAGTACTTGAATAATTATTTCTTTGGATTAGTATTATAAAGTTATTTTTTTTTTATCTCTAAAAAAATTTTATTTTTTATTAAAAATTAAAAAAATTAAAACTTTTTTCCACTTACTCCTACTTTGTCAGAAAACTTCTTTTTTAGGAAATTTTCTTCTCTTCACCTTTTACTTCACTTCTTCTGCTAAAGGTGAAAGCTTGTAACAAGTTAAGTCTAAAATGTACTGACACTACACAAGGCTTTGCTAACTGTCTGGTAGTATACTTAGAAGAAGCACCTATATTTAAAGAAATGTGAGCAGATCAACTCCTATATATAACAATAGTTTGAAACAAGAACTAGAAAGGTTTTGAAACAGTCAATCTTTTCTTTGTGAGGCTTTGTATATGTCTAATAATCACAAATATAAGAATAATTTATTCTTTTTTTTTCCTCTTTCTTTTCTTTTTCCAAATTTTCTTTTCTATCAATGAACAGTTTTTCTTTTCTCTTAAAGATTTTATTTTTAGATCTCTTTTTCTTTTACTGTTTCATTTAATCAACCCTTTGGTTTGTTATCTTCCTATTTTAACCAAGCTATTAACTTTACTCAAGTTTGAAACAAGAACTAGAAAGGTTTTGAAGCAATCAATCTTTTCTTTGCAAGGCTTTGTATATGTTTGATAATTATAAACATAAGAACAATTTATTTTTTTTTTTTTCTCTTTCTTTTTTCTTTTCTCAAATTTCCTTTCCTATCAATGAACAGTTTTCCCTTTCTTTTAAAGATTTTTTTTCTAGGTTTTTCTTTCTTTTACTGCTTTATTCAATCAATCCTTTGGTTTATTATTTCCCTATCTCAATCAAGCTATTAACTTTACTCAAGTTGATATCTTACTTGTTCAAGAAATATGACTTCTTCTTAAGATTTTTTCTTTTGTCCTAAAGAACTTAATATAGAAAAGATCAACTTAATTTTACTTTAATTGAAAAATTAGAATTATAAAAATACTATTGATCTTATTATTCTAAAAATTTTAAACACACTTTTCTATAATCAATAACTACATATCAAATTAGTCAAATGTGAGAAGAGATTGTAAAAGAAGAAAATTTGATTGGCAGTACTAATCACATAAGTATTTGCTTTGTTAAAAACCTAAACTACTAATTAGTATATCAAAAGTATATAATTATAAGCAACTCTATTTTAAATATTTAACAATATCATTATTCTATATATCATTCAAAAAGAATAACCACAGAACTGTCTTCTTGTATTATCTAGCTCCCAAATTTTTTATAACAAAAATCATAAACAACTTAAGCCAATTATATCATATTGATATCTGGGTCACTAATATAAACAAAATCAGTAACCCTTAATCATATTCTTTCTAACTACATAATTATATGGATCCAGGCTATAATCTAAAACCCAAGCACCACATCACTCCCCACTATTACTACTAGGGTTCCTAACAATATCACTTCAATATCACTTTGATATCAATTTGATACTTAAATTTACTATAAAATTATATAAGTAGGTCACAACCCATATATTAAATTTACTATAGATTGGTACTATTTTGATATCAGTTTAATACCAGTTCAGTACTTTTTAGAGTCCTAATCACTATTAATGAAGCATATATGCAGGATTTACAATATAACTAGTAGCTAGCTATTTTTTACCTTTTTTTTACCATTTCTTTTACTTAAATTCTCAAAGGTTTGTATATATCAATTTTATTTGCAATAGGCTAGGATTAATCCACTTACTTTATATATTAAAGATCATTAATATAATGACAAAAAAACAAAAGTTTAATAAATATCTTGTATTTAATATCCATTTGCAAAAAAAAAATATATATATTATTTTTTATTTAATATATCTAATATTAATTTTTTTAATTTTTTTTAAAATTTAAAATAAAAAAACAATAAATTATATTTTAATTTATATATATATATATATATATTTTAATCCCGCAATCAGTTTGGTGTCATTTATTTATTTAATCATAAAAAACCATTACAAGTTGAGAATCCATGTAAAGTATAAATTTCCCTGACCCAACTCACCCGTCTTTAGCTGAAGCCTCTAGATGTGATTTATGGGGTGATAATGTGTTCCCCTAGTGGATGGAATTAAGATTCCAGATTTCCAGCAGGATCAAAACCTGCAGATCACCTCTG